GTACACTTATTCAGTATCTTTTTTAGAGTTACACAATAATAATAATGCCACTCTTATGTCCTTATGTGCTTCTTGTATAGTCTTTTTGTGCTATATCCATGCAAAGTGGGCAGAATGGGAAAAACAGGAATGCCTTCCTTTATTCCGACTTGGGATTATCCACGCATTATTCCAAGATGGTTACCACACTGCTAACACTGTAGTCACACCAGGTGGTTGGTGTGTTACGTATTTGTAATGGTTAATTACCAAGTGAAAGCAGGTACAAACAAACAATGTATAGCAACTTTAAAAATGTTAATATTCGGGTTTTGAAGGTCCATTATGGTGGCTCCATGTTGATAGCAGTTTCAGCACTTCAGTAGTTCTTTTTGCCAAGTGGGAGATATTGTAGCTGTTAGAAAGCCCTGATATTTCCAACCACAACTGACATTATGCTGACGAGAACAGTTTTTCCCACTTGGCTGCTCATAATTAGGGTTTGAACGACATGACACGAATGAATTATCTGAAAATGATAAATGGTGCTGAATCCAAAAAAGTCTGTTCTGCTTGAGCAGACTTGTATAACTTTTGTCAGTACTGAGAGCAAATAACTGCTATTAGAAAAAGACTGACAACATGATTATGTATGGTCTATCACCTACTTTAAACAGGTAATCCCAGACTGAAAAGTTGCTCATAATAACTTAATTAGAAACATCCTGTGGGTAACATCATGTGTTTGGACTTTATGACATACTGTCTCTTAAACACTAGAAGAGGAGGAGGGGGAACATGAGGCTCTGAGTTAAAGCCCTTAACAACTACTAAACACAAACTCATTCCCACTGTTTAAAAATCTTGACCACAATAGAGAAACTTTCAGAAAAGCAAGAGTCTGCTCTGAATGGAGAAGGCTACCGTCAAAGTTGCAAAAGTTTTCTTTGTGCATGAATCCTGTTGAACTCTGTGGTACAAAAGCTTGGCATGGCTGACACAAACATACAACCTGAGCTTACACTCACACATGGTGCACACAGCACACCATATGTTTATTGTGAATGGAGCCCGTGTCCTGGGCAGAGCGGAGAGTTGTTATTGTATGTAATTCTTCCCAGATGAGGTGGGTGGCAAGTCAATGTGGTGAAGGGGACTGCCAATCCCCGATGGCAAAGGTACGATTCTCTGAAACTCTACCACAGACATATTCATGATGGTCATTTTGACCTCCCTCACCTTTAAATTGTACCCATATTGCGTGGTATGAGGTGTAAAACTAATTTTAAAGGAATAGTTTAACATTTTTGGGAAATATGCTTATTCACTCTCTTGTCGAATTTTAGATAAGAAGATTGATCTGCTATCTATGAGGCTACAGCTAGCAACCAGATAGCTTAGTGTAGGCTAGCATAAAGACTAGAAACAAGGAAACAGCAAACATACAAAATAATAATCACAGTGGTGAGCTTTATATGTGCTGGGAGGTGAAGTTTGTTACCTTTGAACTGAGCCAGGCTAGCTGTTTCTGTCTTTATGCTAAGCTAAGGGTGTAGCTTTACATTTCCCACACAGATATGACAGTGATATCAATCTTGTTAGCTTGTTATCTAAGTTCAAGCATATTTTCCAAAATGTCTAACTATTTCTTTAAAGCAGTTAAGTTTAGTTTCATGACCAATATTAGCTAGCCACTGCTCTAATACACTTAGCTATTATGTAAGCTAATTTGGCCTTCAGGAGGCTAAAGCTAGTTCAATCCACAGGTACCGGGCTTGGGAACCGGAAGGTGGCCGGTTCAAGTCCGGCACGCACCACAGTATGGACTATAAACTGGGCACTGCTGATGTGCCCTTGAGCAATGCACCAAACCCCTAATTGCTTTAGGGGCGCCACTACGTGGCAGCACATCACTACACCATCTCTCTATATTTAGCCTACATGTCCATAAGCCCTGTATGTCGGGCCTCTGTGTGTGTAAAATGTTTTTTCTCCCATTTAATGATTAATAAAGTAAATCTTCATCTTCTTCTTTTTCTACTTCTTCTTCTGCTTCTTGTAATTCAGCAGCTAGCAAGCTTTGGTTTCCTTCAGTCACACACAGCCAATGCTCGTTGTTTATTGAGGCTTGGTCTCTATAATGATGAAGACAAATGAGCTCATTATTAAGTGTTTGCATGTGCGTGTGAGAGTAAATGTATGTGTGTGTGTGTATATGTGTGCGTGTACAGGCATCTGCCGGTCTACTGTATGTTCTCATGAGTCTCTCTAAGTGTGTGTGGTCTTGTGAATGTTTGTGTGTGCTTAGTGGTTGTGTGTGTGTGTGTGTGTATGTGTGTGTGTATGCAAATTCTAACCTTTACCTTGTTAAAGCTCTGTCTCATGAGGTTAATTGCTTCATTTAGCCTTAGTTGTTGAATGTTCCCTCTTTTAAATGCAACTCAGTGTTCTTTTCTTCCTTGACTGTGTGTGAGTAACACATGTGTGTGTTCTTATGTGCTTATGAGTGTATCATCCCCAAGTTAAGCCCTCATGATCACCAGCAGAGTGAGTGCTGGGAGGGGAGAGGAAGGGAGGCGGTCTCACTCCCCACTTTGTATTTAATTGTATTACGAGTCCATTTGGCTGCGGTGTAAAATATCATGCTTTTGATTTCTCATCATGTGCAGCTATAATCAGATGCTGTTCATTTGCTAAACATATTTACCATAAGCGTGATGGTTTCATGGATGAGAGAGACACAGAGACAGAGAATCCCCACTCTGAAACTAAATTAACGCCTAAATGCATTTTAATTTAAAGAGACCATTTGGGAATAAATTCATAGCTAATGGTGTGTTTATTAGCAGAGTCATGCATGTGAATTGTGATATAACGAGGCTTGGGGAGGGTTTGCCTAGAGAGCATATTTTGAGTGCTGCAGTTCTGGTGCTGAGCATTAGGGGGTGCTAAGAGACAGGGGGGGCAAATGGATGCACTCGGTGAGGAACACATGAGAAATGAATCTAGGAACTCATGAAGGAAAGAAGTGTCAGGCACCAATAAAACTTTTCAGACAACCTGTTATGAATCCCTCCACTTTATTTATCATCCAATGGTCACAATGTTACCATACAAAACCAACTTCCAACATGGAACTGCATTGGAATGTGACTATTTTTAATACGCACACACACATTCAATAACAAAATTAAATACAATTGTTTTATAAAATAAACAGGGCAGAGGAAAAGAGACACATTAAGTGATATTAAGACATGCAGTGACAAATATAAAAAATAGACATTTGTTCATCTTTTTCTGTACAAACATACATGGACACATATAAATATATAGAAGTAAAAAAGAGTGTATTTTTAAAATACAAAGGTCAAATTGTACAGTTACATTCCATAATAACAAAACAGAAGACATAGCACAATATTCAAGTGAGTTTTCCTTTTTCCACAGACACTGTACAATATTGTACACTGTAAAAGCAGAAATTAGATCACACGATTGTTGGTTTCTCCCCGTGGAGTCTGTTCACGCTGCTGTAAACATTACAAATGAAGAAAGGGTATAGTCTCTGTTGGCGGATTTCTTTTTGAATCACTCATTCAAGTAACTTTCGTAGAGACTGTAATAACAACTGAGCAATCTGTTCTTCAAGCGCTTGCTTTGATGCCTTTAAGTCACCTCAATCACAACTTCAGTGCTGTGTTTTACTTTTCTCTATGAGTCTCTCAGCACTGGAGCGGAGAAGAGGACATTTGGTAAAATAAACAGGACAAGCATTACAGTGAACAAGAAACAGTCATCATAAAGTTGATATATGTTGGCACAAAGAACAAGCATTTGCCAGAATGTGGTGAAATGTGAAACCATGCTATGCCTTCTCTCTCTTTTTCTCCCTAGTTCTGTCTGACGTCCTGCAGCAGTTTGTTGATCTCGTGGACCAGCTCACTAGCGTCCATGCTGGCCTCGTGGCGGCTCTCGCTGCGCTTGCCACCCGGGTGACCCTGATGGAAGTCAAAGTCGTCTTCCTCATAATTCTCTGGGATTTCCTCCATGGCCGGCAGCCATTTGAGGTGTGGTGGCTGTCCATTGGTGGAGGTCGAAGTAGAGGTGGAGGGTGAGGAAGAAGAGGAGGAAACGTGGTTGGTTGCAACGGAACCACTTCCAGGATTTAGATAGTGGGTATTTGCCGCCCAAGCAGCCACGCCTGGGGGGTAAGCGGGACCTTTCCCACCTGGCAACAAGCCTCTCCGGTTGTCCTGAGGAACAGCATTGTTACTATGGTTACCAGCAATGTTGCCACCACGCCCGCTTCCTCTCTCGGCGGTCGATGAAGACGAGGGCGGGCTTGTTTCAGTGCACTCTGTGTACGAGTCCATATTAGGGGGGAGGAGCCGCTGGAACACAGAGTTCATTTCTGTGAGGAGGGAGCCAGCCCCTCCTCCAGCTGCGCAGGCATCACTTCCTCCTCCGGCGACAACTCCCCCGGCACCTGCCTCCTCGTTCCCAGACTCCTTGCCAAAAGTGGAGAAGCTCTTGCGGCGCTCCGAGTCAACGGAGGACTGGTCATCGTCGATTTGGGGCGGCTGGGAGGACTCCTCCCCGGGGATGTACATGTTGTTGCGGTAGTCAGCCGAGGAAGCGGGCGAGGAGAGAGGGGGCATCCAGCACTGGTCAGAGTGACCCAGGACGCGACATTCATCCGTGCACAGTCTCATAGCTAAAGCAAAGAAAAGACAGACATAGGAAGAGTCATGAGCAGGTCCAAATGCAGAAAACTTTTTAATGACATACTGTACATGAAACTGGATGATAGAAACAAACAAGAAACAAAGAATAGCTACAAAACAAAACAACTTCAATAAATGTGATGATGTGAAATGTTCAGAATTCCTTCGACAGAAGGGGGGGTTTTAAAAAAAATATGTGTTGCTGTGGTACAAAATTTGTCAATATACTTAAATAATACAACTAATAAACCCTGAGACTGCGTTAAAGAGGGTATGGTAGCGTTATCTTTGCAGACATATGCAGTTCAGAAGGAAGTCAAGGTGCTGTTTTTCAGCATGAAACAAGGGCAGGGATGCTTTTGATTATGACAAACCATGTCTTATTCTGTTAGCATATGAGTACTCCACGTGCAAAACCTATTAAATCTGCAATCTTTCACTAATATCAGAATCCCAGCTCAGCTTAGTAGTGGATAGTTTATCTCTTGATCTCTTCATATTCCTGCTTGGAGGACCTGAATGGTGATATTTACAGCTCACAGCATGAATATCCAGGTAGTGCCAGGTACGCAAACAATCCCAGGAACTAAATAAATAAACAAATAAAAAAGATCCCACCCAAATGGCATTACAGGCAGTAGTTAATGCAATATTTGGCTGCTCTGCCGAGCATGTCCGCATCTGCCGACTACGCAGCTGAGGCAGGGATTTACTTGTTTAGTTCTTTTATCATATCTAGCATGAATAGCCACATTTGCCCATCTAAATAGAAAAATCTAAACAAATTAAATCTATTGAAGAGAAACAGGGATAATCCTCCCTCTCGGCCCATTATCTTCTTCCCCTCCCCTTTTTTCATATTAGCATAAAAGATAGAGGAAAGGAATGGGGGGGAGGAGGGGTGTTACACTTCCAAGTCTTTCTCAAAGGGAGAAAAAAGGAGATACAGACAAACTGCCCATGTCTACCACCCTCCCTTTATCCATCTCAATAAAGATACAGAATACATTAACAGGTACAGGAGAGAGACACGCTGAGGAGCTCTCAGGCATGTAGGAGGGAGTGAGAGAGGGACAGACTAAGAGGGAGAAAGAGAGAGAGAATAACATCATTCTAAAAGCAATTACTATGAATTCTCCTCAGTTCAGACATGAAAGCGCACCACTGTCACTCACCGGGGGGAAAAAAAGAGAAAGAAAAGAAAAAGGAAAGGGAAAAAAAGGAAAAAAAACACAGCACACTGAGACGCATACCGATGAGTGACAGGCGACTCATCTCCGCTCCAGGGAGGATTTTACAGACACGACTCTAACTTAGGGGCAGATAACGCACACACGAGCACAACCCCACACAGGGTAACACTAACAGCCAGACACACTGTAACCTCTCTCAGTGTGATAACGAGCGTGGAAATGAGGGCTGTGTGGAAGAATGGGGCCGAGTACAATGGGGACTGTGTTGGCAACAGGGTGAATGGAGTGTCTGTATAGGCAGGTGAACAGACAAATAATGGACTTGTGCCTGACGCTGTCCATGGTGCTGAAATTCGTCAGGCAGGAGGTACATTAGCGGGTTAGGTGTGGTCTGGAGGAGGAGAAGGCAGGTAAATTCACTGCTAGTTGACTTAAGCTGGGTCTCCGAATCAGAGAAAGACAGATCAGGAATAAGAATCGAATTTATTTCAGTAATGGCACAAAGTCGATCAAACTCAGACAAAATCCATCGCAAAGTATGAATTCATAACTTTTGCAAAATAAGATTAAGCTGAAGAAATTGTGCTCTGAAGCTGAGGTGATAGTTGAGTGCGAGGTGCCGCTATAGAGGGTGTTAAGTACGTGACTCAGCTGAGTGGAGCAAATTTGGGTAAGGAGCCTAAAATGGGGGTGGTTGTGGTGTTGTGAGGCGCAACCACTGAGGTTGAGAGAGACTGTCAGAATGTGTGGGTCAAGTCACAAAACGCTCACCTGGATGGAGTCGATGGTGCATTTCGAGGTGTATGAGGTCAGAAAAGCCCTCCCCCCCCAGCAGCAGCCTGTCCACGGGGGATTCCCGCCCCATGTCACAGTCACTGTCCCCCGCCTCGCTGTCCCCACGGCCACTGTCCTTCAGGCTGAACTTGTCCATGTCTTGTAATGCATACCTAAAGGTAGTAGATTGAAAACACATATAGGTATCAATAAGTCAGGGATACTGTATCTGCAGAACAATGCTGCGCGTTTACATTTTGCAAAAACAAAGCTGAGTGCCATCTGTTTGGCAAGCGGACAGAATCAATCTGTCCTTAGAGAAGACTAATGACAAATAAATCCATCATATAAAACTTGAGGCTGCTTCTGGAATCTGTCAAATCTCTAGACAAGGCTCGGCCCATAAATCCTACATGCAGGTAGATTCCATCAATAAATCTATCACAACAGCCACTAGGGGCATCAATAAATCTATCATCTAGAGATCATAGGGGGATATTATTGTGAAAGTAATGATGGATGCATACTTTACAATCTGAGCCCAATTTTCTTTCAAGAAGAGAAGTACCAAGAAAATTGTTGTGACATCCAGACAAATGAGTTGCATACTTTTGAACTGAATGACATTGGTATGATAACAACTGGAATATGAAAAAAATACATTTACACACCATCAAACCATGATCTACATGTAACTGACCCACTGAGAGGCAACAGTTCACAACAGGTTGTTGGAACACATAATACACAATGAGAAACAAGTGGTTTAAAAAGTAAACAAATGATAATCTTATAGGAGAGGTGGGGGAGGGGTGGGGTGGGAGACTGAGGGGTAGGGGTAAATTACCTGTAGCTGCGGGAGTATTTGTTGCCACGGAAACTGGGTCTGGGCTGGTACTGGCCCTGATGGAGCATGGACAGAAGCTGTGAGACTTGCTACATCCAAAAATAACAAAACAAACAAAATAAAACAAACAAAAAGAAACAGAAAAGGGGGGATGAATAACAGATGGGTAATCGGGGAGGGGGAAAAAAGAGAGAGAGACAACACAAAAGACAAAATAATGGATGAGTAAACACAAAATGGATGTTGGAGAGGCTGCTAAAAATGGATGAGACAAAATGGATGACGTTGAAATTAAAAGAAAAGGTTGTGGTGGGGTGGGGGTTCTAGATGAATATGGAGACATATGACTGAGGGGTGAGTTGTGGTTATGATGGAGGTGATGGTGACAGGGTGCAAACAAGGTAAAGACAAAGACACATCTATAATCATCAACAGTTTTAATGAGAGTCAGTTTGAACTACAGGGCAGTGTTGATTAAGTCACTGTCACACATGGAGATTAGTTAATTTGCTCAAACGAAGACAGCTGTGTGAGGATGAGAAGGCTGGGTGTGTATGTGTGTATGGGTGAGTGTGTGTATGTGTGAGTGTGTTGTGTGTGTGTGTGTCCAGAGAGAGAGAGAGAGAGAGAGAGAGAATTTGAAATGGGGCTGAGGGACTACATTTGGAATTTCTCAGAATAATTTGCTTCTGTGGGTGTGTGTGTGTGTGTGTGTGTGTGAGTGAGCGCTCACCTCCACTGGTGGAGTTGCGTGCGCCAGTTCCAGGGCGAAGCTCTCTGGAATGTGATTGGACGAGATGGTCACTAGGCTGTTTAGTGATTGGCGGCTGTGGTGATTCTGCCGGCTCCCCATCTGGGCTCGGTCCATGGGGGGCGTGGCCGAAGGTGAGCGGTGGTGAGCTCTGATTGGCAGGGTGCCGTTCACCGTGGGGACCAAGGTGATATCACCTTTGTGGATCTGGCGTGAGGGCTTTTTGGGGTGGTGCTGGTGGGTCGATTCGGCTACCCGGCAGTTGTAGGAGTTCCTTGTGTCCTTCTTCTCCCGGTTACAGCGAGCAGCGAACACCACCATGATGACCAGGAGCACGGCGCAGATGGCCCCCAGGGAGATGATGATAATCAGGGATGCATCGAGGGGAGACTCCCCCTGGTCCATCACCTGGACGTGGTTCTCCATGTTCTCATACAGGGTGATTTTCAGCACCGCCTTAGCACTGAGGCTCTCCCTCCCCTGATCCCGGACCACGACTGTGAGCTCGACGTGCTCGTGGGGGAAGTTCTCCAAGCTGGCATTGGCGTGGATTTCACAGGTTCTTGGGTCAATAATAAAGAAGCCCTCCTCGTTGCCACTGACGATGGAGCAAATGAGCTCAGCATTGACCCCTGTGTCACGATCAGTCGCCCTGACCACGGTTACTAAGTGTCCAGCCTCTGTGAACTTTGATGCAGGCACATCAGCAGTGAAGTTCCACAGCTGTGGGACCACAATGACCGGAGGATTGTCATTCTCATCAAGGATGTTCAGAACAACTGTGGCGTTGCTGAGAAGTGGTGGTTTCCCTGCATCTTTGGCTTGCACAACAAAGGAGATACGACTAACGTCCTCACGATCAAACGTACGCAGTGCGTAGATGGCGCCATTAGAGGGATCAATGGTGACGTAGGTGGAGATGGAGCTCCCGTGAACAGAGTTCTCCATGATGGAGTAGCTCACCTGTCCATTGGTGTCTAGATCAGGGTCAGTGGCCATGATGGAGGTCAAATAAGCTCCAGGGGCGTTGTTCTCTGATTTAAAGATCTCATATCGGCCCTTCTCAAAACGTGGCGGATTGTCATTCTCATCAGTTATATGCACAGTGAAATGTTTGACGGTAGAAAGACTGGGGGTCCCCCGGTCCTCTGCCACCACTGTCAGACTGAACTCTGACCTCTTCTCTCGGTCCAAAGACACGTTGGTCAGAATCATGTAGTTGTTCTCGTAGGTCTTCTGCAGTTTGAAATATCCTTGCCCATGAAGTTTACACTCTACCTCTCCATTCAACCCAGAGTCCATGTCCTCCACCCTCACCAAAGCTACAAAGGTGTCCAAAGGAGAAGCCTCAGATATGTAAGCTGCGTCCCCATTCCCCTGTGAGGACATGAGATTGATGCTAATGTCTGGTTTATTGTCGTTCACATCGACCACTTTAACCAGAATCTTGCAGTGGGCTGGCATGGAGTTGGGACCCATGTCCTGCGCTTGGACATCAATGTCATAAGAGTTGATGGCCTCATAGTCCACGCGCCTGATGAGGGTCAGGTGACCGCTGTCGGGGTTAATTTTGAAAGTCTCCATTATTTTAGGGGACACGTGACTGCTGAATGAGTAGACTATTTTGGCGTTGGTGCCGTCATCCGCGTCAGTGGCGTTTAAGTCAATGAGCAGGGTGCCAACAGGTGAATTTTCTGGGAGATTTATGACATATGACGACTTGTCAAAAATTGGGCTGTTGTCGTTTGAGTCAGCCACACTGATCTTGAGGAGGGTCGAACCCGTTCTCGGGGGAACGCCCCTATCAGAGGCCGTATATTGAAGTTCATAACCGGAGCGTACCTCCCGGTCCAGCTCCCTGAGCACCACCAGCTCTGCATATTTAGCCCCGTCAGTCCTGGACTGGATGTCAATCTTGAAGAAGTTGTTGGGCTGTAAGGCATACGTGTACAGTGAGTTCTCCCCGACGTCGGGGTCTGTGGCACTGTCCAGGGGAATGCGCGCCCCCACGGCCGCGCTCTCGGAGATCTCAATGGGGATGACGGCGCGGGCGAACTGGGGTGCGTTGTCGTTGATGTCCAGCACTTCCACCTCGACGTGAAACAATTGCAGGTGCTCAGTGGGGAGTGTCAGCACGTCGAATTGAATAGAACAGTTGAGATTCTTTTCGCAGAGTTTCTCGCGGTCAATTTTGGTCCTGATGCTGATTTCTCCGTCCTGCTCGCGCACCGTGAGGAAAGACGAGCTCCCTCTTTGCATCGCTCTGAAGCGGAGCGACACTGAGCTCGGAAGTTTAGCCAGAACATCAGCCACATCGTCTTTCAAACGGGCAATAACCGTGCCAACCTTCTGCTCCTCATAAATCTGATATTTCAACGTCTTACCGGTAACGTGTTGTGTTGCCAGAGCCAAAACAGCCAGAACTTTCCACATTCTTGTCAGGAAAAGTCCTTCCATTTTTGCTTGCGTTTTTGTGGAAGCCAAACACAGGTGCAAAAATAGCTCCAAAATGCAGCACAAGTCAATTCCAGTTTTAACTAACTAAATGCTGTGCTCCCTCAGTCAGCAGCCTCATTGCTTTCTCCACGGAGCGAGGAGGAAAAAAACACATTCGATTGTTAAATGCAAGCTCGCTCAAGTTGCACTAATTTCCTTAAAAGCATCCAAATTGGTTTCTATCTGTTCTCCCTTGTCATACAGAGCTGTTGCGCGCATCCAGTGTGCGGGAGAACCAGCTGAATGCCACTGAAATCTGTGCGCCTTTCTCCTTCTCCTCCCTGCGTCTGGTCTGTGCGCCGTGCGCTCTCTTTCGCTCTCTCTCTCCGTTTGAGGCGCCTCTGCACACAGACTTGCCCAAAATAACCCGCCTCAAACCAACTAGTTGTACATCAGCCACGGCCCCCTTTTCACATCCCGGGAAAGACAAACGCTTCTTAAATCAAGAGCTGGCTGGTGGCCACTCAAACTCCAGAGGAGATGAGAAGAGGAGGCGCAAGAGGGGAGGAAAAAGAGAAAGTGGGGGATTAAAAAAAAAACCCCGCCCTGTGGGGTTCACTCTTCCCCCTTTTCAGAGTAACGATCATGCCCCTACAATGGACAGGGGAGAAAATAAACTCAAGAAGAAAACATTCACTCAAGCTTACCCTGCCGTTTTTCACTGCTATAAAACCACAGGGAGGTTTACGAGTTTCTCGCTTCGGGTCTGTTCTCCCCAGACAGCATGGAAACACAAAGAGTCTAAATTCTCATTAGACAAGACAAATATATAGTCACCACCACCTTTAAAGCCTTGATAGGCACACTTTTGATTTATAATATATAATCCAGCCCAGCCATAACAGCTGTCACCACTCACTCCTACTATATGACGCACTGGATGCCTTGACATTAGTGTGCGTGCCATAAGCTTATACTGTATCTAGTCTTTTTCTGCTCTTTCAAGTGGCAGCTGACTACCCCCTCCTCAATGCACAGGCACTCAGTGGTAGATGTTTTGAGTGCAATATTTTTTTTATTTTCTCATGCGCCTCATCTGTGGCTGTCTATGGGTGAGAGTATAAGCTGGGTAAGCTGTGTGGCAAATCGCGTAGAAAGGGAGCCGGACTCTAATGAATGCCTTTAAAGAGTTGGTCACGCCGAGGAACAGCTCTGTCCCCGTGCACAGATCTGTTCAACATCACTTCAAACTCCCCGCAGGATGGTTTTTCGATAATGAGCACAGCATCTAAAAACTCACCAGTTCGGGCAGGCATTTTTAGTTCCCCAGAAGAAAAAAGAGTCTCATTCATGTAAATGCGCACGCACACCCGAGGGCAGAGAGAGAAACAGACACGGTGAAATGACAGAAATGCAGGAAGAGAAAGAGAGAGACAGAGAGAGAGAGATAGAGGGAGAGATCTAAGGTTTAACGAATGTGCACAACTGGGACCGCACATTCTGGAGACCATCTGGCGCGGTTTGTTTGGCACCAGGACCCGGCGATTACAGCCGACCAAACAAGACTCCAGCGGAGACCCGAACCCCACACAACTGTGAGGAAATGAGTTGTCATGGGGGATTGTAGAGTACCAAGCAGCTTTTCCAGATCCATTCACACATTCTGCGTGCGTGCGTGAGGTTGCGGTGCGCTTGCGTGTGCGTCAAAGAGATACGCTCAACTAACAGGGACTTAAGTTACTGCAATAACAGCTTACCAGAGCCTTCATACATATTCAAATCAAAATATTATAGCAGAAATTGAAGATGAGACATGACTGACGGTGACCATCTGGAGGAGAACTCCAAGAACACAGACTTCTCCCAAGAAAGACTAAACTCATAACTGTCCCGCTCACTGGTCCCTTAGCTGAAATCATTCTCAGTCAACACTTTGAGAATCATTTTTTAGAAACTACAATTAACCTTAAGAAATAGAAAGATACCGAATCTGCAAAACAAATGAATAATTTACCACCAGCTGCTACTGACTGTGAGAATTGTAATATATATAAAAAAAACATCTCAGGACTTGATGATGTTATCCATTTGAACCAGGTTATTCAGTGTGGGCTGATCTTTTAACGCACAGCATCTGCACAGCTTCTAACGCCTTCTGTGCATTTGCCTGAAAACAATAGCTTATTAAATATTCCGAACGTGCACGGACATCAACCAGAAGCTCTCATTTGAAACCAGGAGCATTAAATTGGCGGAAAACCTTTATTCCCACTCCCGGTGTCTATTCATCGCCTGAGCCATGTCTGCAAAATGTTTGCATTCACTCCTCTTTTGCACATCTTTCACCATAGTGTGCTTGGTATTTAAACAGGTTTGATACGGGCGCCCGGCATTTCCATAGCTCCAAATGTTCACAATGCAGTAATGCAATTACTCCCTGCGTCCCAGAGAAGCTAATCACATTTGGAGAACAAAGTCAGCTCCGGAGTTTATGGAAGAAGGGAGCAAAAGAAAGAGGCAGGGTTGGAGGGGGTGGGGGTACGCTGGGGTCTTAAACACTGCGCAGAATAAAACAATTAATGTATAGAGGGGGGTATAATCTAAGTAAAAAGCAGATGGAGCCTTAATACATTTAGGCACGCTACATAACCAGAGGAGCCGAACAAACATGGCCTTTTAAAGCTTAAGAGCGCCAATAATTGAGCTAGAAATATTCATCCTCTGCAGCAGGTGCAAACATGCGATGTCTCTGGGAGTTAGTAAGTTTTTGTTTAAGTTCTGCTGCTTCCAGCTCCCCTAAGATCATGTTATTGATCCATAGGCGGCTCTGAAGCCCAGATCAGTGTCTCCGCAAATGCATGCGATCAGCACAAACAAACAATCGGCTCCAGCGCCCGGGCCGCAGCTCTCTTCATTATTGCCTCTGTGTGTCGGGGCCTTGTAGCCATAAAGTGATAGTGTGAATTAAACGTCTGTCGCGAACATTCATGGCAATCTTCGCAATATACTCTTCCCCGCCCTCCCTCCCCCAAGTCAATAGGCGCAGCAGGTGGAGACC